TATATATATATATATATATATATATATATATATATATATATATATATATATATAAAATTTATCCCTTCAGTCCTAACTAACCCTCTTGGTAGACTTCCACACAAGGTAAGCATTGGAAATATCACACACTGAACTCCAAAAGCCAAGTCTCTTTCCTTCACCCTCATCTTACCTGTTCCCTTTCCCAACATATCTCCCACCCTAATATACTTCCCAGTAGAAAGAAGGCATCTGAGAACAAGGGAAGCATATGGGTGGCTGCCACTTGCTGATAGCTCTGTAGGGAGATCCTCCCCTGGCTCCCTGGCTGGAGAAAACCTGAGAAATACAGAAGTTCTGCATACCCACTCACTTCCAAAAGACCAGGCTGAGGAGCCCAGGAAATGCCCACTGGAGGGAGACAGAGAACATCTCCAGCTTCAGCATCTAGGACATCGGCTCCACGGCCCAGGGACCCGATCAGCTAGTCTGTGAGGACCACTGAGAAGCTCAGTGCCATTGCGTGCCACTTCTGAGCCCTACCTCATGCACTTACCAGCATTCTTCCTCCCCTGCAGCAATGGGAAGCACTGTAAAGGAAACAGAGAAGAAATTAAGGCATTGCAGAGCCCTACACAATATCAGAACTGGAAGGAATCTATGAAGTCAGCAAGTTCAATCTACCCATTTTACAGGAAGACACATGGAGGCCCACAGAAAAGGAAAATGGAGTACAAGTAGGGAGCAAAGTGGAGCTTAGAAGCCCAGACTCCTGACTGCCCACTGCATACTACTTTCTCCCACTCCACTGGCTGACTCCTCTGTTTCATGTCATTCTCATGGAATAAGAGCACCCCCAAGTCAGGAGATCAGAGGCAGTCTGTGCAGGTCACAGTACTGTTCCAAGGCCTGACAATAAAAATTATCAAAGAATCAGTCAGCATTTGCTTGGAACATGCCATCCTTGGTATAGCATCAACCAGGTTAGAAGCAAGGTATGTTGGTGGGAAAAGCAGTAATTGGAACTGGAAAGCTGAAGTTCAGGGCCACCTTCCCCTATTTATTGGTTATATAACATTGGACATCACCCATAACCTCTTGAAACTCACTTTCTGCATCCATAAGTCTAGGATAGTAATAATCCCAACGTCACAGATTTTGTGAGAAATTGATATACACAAAAGCATTTTTAAATGATAAACAATATTATAAATTAATTTATTCAACAAATATTTATAGAGCACCGATGCCCTACAAGACACTATAATAGGATGCTAAGGATATAGCATAGATTTAGACAGATTAGGTCCCTGTCCTCATGGAGCAGGGACAAACAATAAATAGGTAAACAAATAAATCAATAAGGAAATCACAGACATCTCTAAGAACCAAGAAGGAGAAACTTTAAAAAACATGATGAAGTAGAGAATGATAGGGTAGACAGAATAGGTGGGGATTGCTTTAGAAAAGGTGACCAGAGAGCATCTCTCAGGGGAGCTGAACTTTGAGCAAGGCCTGGGTGACAAGAAGGAGCCAGCGATGTGACAATCTGGGTGCAGAACGTTCCAAACAGAGGTTGAGAGAGTCAAGGACCAAATTTTGCAGGATTTTGAAGGCCAGGGTGAGGATTTTGGCTTTGATTCAAACGATGGTAGGTAGCCATTGGAAGGCATAGAACAGGAGAATGGCAAGATCTTACTTCCATCGTAGAGAGGTCACTCTGGCTGCTTGCTGTGTGGAGAATGGATTTTGGAGCTACAGAGGAAGCAGGGAGGTCTCTTAGGAGGCTTTTGCAGTAGTGCAGGTAAGCAATGTTGGTGGCTTGGGCTAAAATGATAGTGGTATAGATGTGAATTCAATAGTTAAGGAAAGAAAGAAGGGCTCCTCTTAGAGGTAGAAGGGTTTTCTTGCCTATTCTCCTGGCTTCATGCAGCTAGTCTCTAAGCCAACCAAAATATTATAAGGAAAGGAGTTGCCACAGTACTTTTTATCTGTCTTATCACTGCACAATGATTGTCACACCAGGTGCAGACACTTGACTACAATGATTTCTAGTCCCAGGACATTAATCTCAGCTCTAGATCACTCTGAAATGACCAAAAGTCAGATCCACCCTTGTAGACCACAAGACAAAATCTGGTGAATCTCCAACCCACAATTGACCACAAGAGAGTGTAGGGGTAGGAGGTATCCCCCCTGACTGTTCATTGGAAAAGTCCACAAGGGATGTTAATGTGAGGGACATGGACAGTTCTAGAATGAGATAGGTGTGAAGAGAGGGGAAAGACCAATCGAGAAAGAAAGATATGAAATTCTCCTACAAAGTTCCAAAGTGGACCCATGATTAAGCAAGTCAATATAATTCTCAGTGGTGGACAAAAGGGGAGTTAAAAAAAAAAAGGCTGAGGGGATGGGAGGGAAGGTGGAAGCAGGGCCTTGTGAGGTTCTAAATGTGACAGTTCTGGAATATTAGGAGATGAACTGATGGGTAGGGCACACTGTTACTCTGTAATCCTGTTCTAGTCTTATTAAATTCCCTCGTCTCCCACCCTACCCCCAACGCACCATAGGTTTAAGAGAATTAAAGATCGTTCAGGAGCTAATTAAGCTTTAAATTTACACAGGAATTTACAGATTACAAATAAGTAAACGTGTTTGGCTATCACAAACATGGTAGGTTTTCTTATACTCATGTGACACATAAAGAACATGAGGCCCAGAGAAGAGAAATGACTTTCCCAAGGCCACACAGCTAGTAAATGGCAGAACCAAGTTTACAGTTTAGGCTTATGGGGCTCCCAGTTTTATTGCATCCTATTCTTTTTCACTCTGGGTCCAGGATAACCTGGCCTAGACCAGGACCATGAAACTCACTTGGCTTTGGGCCCTGATCTTGGTACTATTTTGGTAGCTGAGAGGCTTACAGGGAAAACTGAGGTATGAACTTTTACATCAGAGAATTTTGCTACAGGGCAAAGGTTCTTTTTGTTTCTGGGTTGTAGAACATATTCCTGTCATGTGGAGATTCTGGACAGAGGAGCCAGGAGTCCAGCAGTTGCAGAAATAGGCACTCTGGAACAAGGCCGGAATTGGTGGTGACAGTCTTCCCATCCAGTGTGCCATTCATTCATTCATTCGTTCATTTACTATGAGCCTCTAAAGGCCAGGCCCTTTGATAGGTACCCAGGGATTCAGATAAATTAAACATGTTCCCCGCCCTTGAGGAATTCACAGCCAGGTGGGGACAAGGGGGTAGGCCACAAGTATAAATCATCACAATTCCATGTAAGTACTGGAAAAAAAGCATGGCCAGAAGAGCAAAAAAAAAGTCAAAGAGGTGTGGAAGCATGAGGTTTAAGGAACTGTATATAGTCTGGCTGGAGAGCAGAGTGCCAGACAGAGAGTAAGAACTATGTGTGGAGCAGTGGTCAGGGCCAGATCATGAAGAACCTTGTAGGTCAATGTGATAGAACTTGACCTTTATCCAGAGCCCAGTGGGGAGCTCTTGAAGGGGCCTAATCAGGGGAGTAACAGAGTCAGGTTTATGTTTCAGAATGTTACTCTATCTGTTGAGTGAGGAATTCATTGGGAATGGGGGTGGGGAAGGTTAGGCAAAACTTGACACGGGGAGGCTGGAGCAGATAGGGTCAGTAGCCTTTGGGATAGAAAGGAGGGGACCAGTATATGAACTGTCTATATAATGGAACCACAGTAAATGACAGGATATGGGAGTTGAAGAGAGGAGTCAAGGATGAGTCCAAGCAAGGTTTCTGGCCTGGGCAACCAGGTGGATGGAGGTGCTATTAACTGAGGTCAGGAACAGAGCAAAAGGCCTGGTTGGTGGTAAGTGGGAGGGGAATCTTCCTTTTGTAGTGAATCTCGCTCTGAATCTCTTGGATTTGAAGCCTGTGTGTAGCATCTACTCAGAACTATGCAGTAGGCCCTGTGGTGGACCTGCAGATACAAACTTGCACAGAAGCATATATGGACCTTACGCATGAGGCGCTTGCCATCTAGTGGGAGACAGAGTGGCTAGACAGAAAGAGACAGATCCAGAGTTTTTGACAGAAAAAGGGAATCCTGTTCAAAGAGTGAAAAAGAGAGGGCCACAGCCCAAAGGGGGATGGAAACAGGAAGTTCGTTGCTGGGTAAGAAGTTGCAAGATCTGAGAGGGGTGGTTGGAGTAGCAAAGGCTACTGACAGGCTTTGTCCAGACCTGAGGAGTCCTCAGCATCATTGGCGGGTTTGGAGCTTGCTCTCCCAGCATCCTCTATGCCCAGCCCTTACCCTGCTATCTGAGCACAGGCTGGTGGGGACTTTTCGTCCTTTCCTTGCCTGGCTTCCCTGCTCCCCCTCAACCCCTGGCCAGCCCTGTGCCACAGGCCCCAGCCTGGATCTGGTCATGAGAGCACGTTCTTGACATTCCAGCCTCCCCCAGTCCTCTCAGCTGGGCCACACAGAGCCCTATTCACAGCCTGACCCCTCCCTCCCTCCTGAGTGGGCTCTCACTGCCCTCAGACCCAGCCTGTGTGTTGCCAACACAGACTATGGCCACTGTGAGAAGCAGACTCCCTTGATCCCTTGGTAGCTGATTCCTCTGTCTCTTGGGGTCTCTCCGTCGGGAGAAGGTGCAGTGGCTTTGGCTCCTTGTATGTGCATGAGAGTACATGTATATTCTATGCACTCAGCCAACTTCCTCTAGGCTGGGCCTAAAATAAAGGCTGTGTCGGACTGGACACAGGGGTGGATAAGACACAGGCTGGGTCCTTAAAGGAGCTCACAGTACAGCTTGAAGGTAGCTGGGTACATGGACTGCAGTGTGCATGCTGGGGCTGGATTGAGCCTCAATCGGAGTATTAGTGTCATGGTGTCACTTTTAAACCCCATTCCATGGCCTGGGAACATGTGCTCATGTTCAGGGTGTGATATCTGCTGTGAGTGAGATGCTACAGCCCTGAGGGATGCCAATCTCTCCCCTGGGAAGGACAGGGGAGACATGGTTTAAAGTGGGACTGAGTGACATCAGGCATTCTGGGCCTGACCACATGCCTTTGACCAGTTCTTTGCTGGGCCTCAGACTTGTTGCCTGTAATAAGTGGGTCCCTGACCATTCTTATCCTTCCATCACAAGGAATAGGGTGAGGGACAGTCCCAGCTGGGAAAAGACACTGGAAGAAATGACTTCGAGATGGCCTTTGTAGAACTCAATCTGGGACAGCACTTTGAGGAATCCCCAGAGGGGATTTTTTTCCCTTCTCTGAGGGTGCGAGCTGTCCCAGACTAGCTTGGAATGTGAGCCTCTCAGAAGTCCTGACTCTCCTTTCCCACCCACCAGAACTACCATGGTCTAATACCCCACTCATCCACCCCCAAGAGGGGATCCGACCTGTAGCCTTAGGAATGCTGATCTGTATATCATTTTATAACTCACCCTGTGACAGATAGCCTGCTGCCTTGGGCTCTTTTTGCCCTGATCCCTTCCTGCCAGTCCTGGTGGGGTGTCCTTTGCTCCTTCCCCACTCCCCACTCCTCACCTGGCCTGAAGGGCCACTCCAGGCCTGGCTCCTTGCCTTTGAGCCCCTTTCCCCCC